CTTTTCCTTTTCATTTTGTATAGAAGCCCAGCCTTTCAGACCCCCTCTCGCAGTAACAGCACAAACCCAGACAACACTGAGTCTTTCACATCCTTTCCATGCTTTCCCTCCCTTTTCTCACAGGTCCATTTTCCTAAGGTGAAATTACATTACATTGACATTCTCCTTTCACAAGGAAAGGTCATAATTTTTTCGTTCCTGCTGCCACCCCTTGTCTGTTGTGTTAGTATGCGTTTTACAGAGAGCGAGGCTGAACAGTTTTAATTATCGCCTGGGAGAAGGCCACCCGCTGAGCTCCACAAGCCTGTTTTTTTTCGTGTATTGTACCTCTTCACTCTGCCTAGTGTTGGAGAGTCTCAGAGGGATGCAGAGGTAGGTTGGGACTTGAAAGAGGTCTAAAATGATGCTGTGTTTGCTTTCACACTGACATAGTCTGGCCTGAGAAATGGCTCTCTAAAGCTTGTAAAAGTGTGTCCCTGGTGACTTCTGAAAAGTCAGCGGGGAAGGGGGGTTCTTTTTAAAGCAGCGCTGTCAAAGTATGTAGAGTTGTGGCTCTGCTTTCTGCTGTTTAACGGTGCTGGAGTTAGCAGTGTGTTTTATACAGACTTCTGTATTCAGAGTCAGGTCTGTAAATATGTTGCACAAACATAATCACTTCCTGTAAAGCGCCAATGTGCTGTGATAAGTGTGGGAATATAAATTGTTGTTGGCTTTCTGGTTATCGAGGGTTCAGGTAATACATATACATCCAAATAAACAGATATTCACACACAAATAAGTCAACAGCAAACATTTATCTCTAAATGGTCACATCTTTGAGACTTTTTTTTACACTTTTCGTATTTAACTTACATTCTTAAGTAAAACAATTTCTGTAGTGATAAACCTGAATCAGGATTATTTTCCTACCGTGTTTCCTGTGAAGAATTCTTTTTAATTGTTAAATGATTGTTACAAGAGGGAAAAGAACATCTGGGGATTTGTAGGATAACGTTGGGGAAATAAGGACTTTTTGTAAGAGGCAAGATACATTTTGTATAAGGATATGTAAGACTGTATGGCTCTGGTTATCCAGCAGAAAGGACAAACACTAACTAAATGAACAGATTTATGACAAGTAAAATATATTGTTGTACATTAAAGATTTGCAACTAATGAATACCTTTATCATTGATTAATGTGGGGATGTTTGAGCAATCTAGTGTTGAGGTTATTCAGTTACTTGTTTTGTCCAATAAATAGTCCTTAACTCAAAGGTATTGAACTTGCAATTATATTAATCAGAAAAAGCAGCACATTTCAGAGACTGAAAACTAATAGATGGACAGCACTTTGATTGGTTGAATGACAATCTATTAATTGATAAAGATTACGCATCAATTATAGAATCAGCCAGCCTTAATCCATGTGCTTAATAGTCCACTGGGTTGCTATCTGCAGACATAACAAAATAAGAAAATGTTTATCACAAATCTCAAGTGATATTGACCTTTGGGGTTGTTCATAATGGTGATGAGTGTTGCCATATGGTGAATGACATTTCAGCCTTAAAAGCTCTCCATTTCTATCTATGGTTAACAACACACTCTCCTTCACATAATTATACCCAGAAGCTGTTCTGCCCTGCTGTAACAGTGACACAGCCTAGCAAAGGAAACAAATGACTAACATAGTCCCTATTTTTAGTGAAGCCAACCATGGTTTAACCACAGGTTACACATATAGGTGGTTTGTTTAGATTCAAGGCAACGTTACCATGGCATCGTTGTGGTAGAGGAACACACTGGGTATCTTTCACTTCTGCATAACATTATAGAGAAGTAAGTCATATTGCTTTAAACAAATGTGGACCATCATGTTGATAAAAGACAAGACACCATTAAAGAGGATTTGTATTTGCTTTTATCTATTTTCTTTGTTGACGGATGCAATCAGGCCATCAAAAGTATCCAAAAACCTCAAATCGTTCTGCCGCATCTTCCCATGAGCTTAAAATATGCCTGAAGTGACTGACTCACAGGCACAGTCAAGTCATAGGACAAAAAAGTCGCCTGAATGTCTCCAATCTCCCTGCACTTGTGGTCAGCGTCTGCCTCTTCCGGACATGTGTCGCTAGATTGAGACCAAACAAGGATGGAGAAGAGGAGGAGGAGGAAAGGGAAGAAAGACAACAGGGTAATTCATTCACTGGCTTGTGAAAGAGAGGAAGACTCAGTTTCCTCAGGACATTATAAATACAAGCGCAGTCAGTCATCAAATTATAGCCATCTGCATTGGCCCTGGACCAAGATTCTGCCTGACGCACAATAAACTAGTGTGAGGAGGGGTGTGGTCGCTAAAGGGGATCAGACGCCGTCCTCTTCGGTGGTTAAACCTCCACATGAAGACTGACACAGAGCGTGGCAGCAGCTTCACAGCTTCAGGGGTGATCCTACACACATAATGGTGGCTTGTCAGCAAAAACACCTCAGCTGCATCCTATGTACACCAGGCCCCAAGACCCTTGAAGATGAACAATTATAGTGCTAAGATCAAGAAGATGACAAGAGTCTTTTGATGCACATTCTAGCAAAAGTCAAAAGCCTCACATGGTTGTGTTTTTCCATCCTGTAGATGAGAGGAACTTTTTGCACACAGAAGAGGTGCAAGACTGGAGAGACAAAATAAGTGTAACAGAGTATAGCAATTACACAGATATCATATTAAAAATGTGCTTTTCCTACACAATGCTAATTCTGAACAGAGCTTTACTCAGCTTAGCTGGGGAACTAATGATGTCCAGATCCAGGTACACTGCAGAGAGCAAAGCTTTTGTGTGTATCATTGGAAAATGTGCTCCTTTTCCTCAAGGCAATTGCAGCAAGCTAAATACGAACCAGAAAATCCCCAGGCAGAATTGCTCTCTCCTTCAGCTTCTTATCCCCATGCTCAGTGAACAATCCGACAAAAGCTCGGGTTTAAGAACCATGGAGCTCATTGCGATTTTCTTTGTTAATGCAATTGCCTGTAAGAAAAGATTCTCTTCCCCCATTTTTTCAGTTTCAGCCTGGAGGCTCTTGTGCAATTAGCAGTAGTCTTTCTAGTTTGAAATACCTTCGCCTTACAAGAAACTCAATAGACAATGGCCCCTGAAGAGTGACATTGTGAAAATAAATGATGAGTATCTGTGATAATTCCTTCGATTCAGTAATACACATACAATGTGCATGTTCAGCATCATACTCATTTTGAATAACCAGGAAGGATCTTTAGTTTTTAAGGTTTTCTCTAACTCCTTTCAGAACATATTTGAGAAATTGCATAATATGACAAAATGAGATAATGTCAAAGAACATTTCCTGTGATATTTATTTCCGAGAGATGCCCAAATGACGTTTCTTTGGCTGCAGGAGACCAATGCTGTGCAGCAGTGTAGTTGAATGTCTCTGAGTATTTGTCCTTGTGCTGAGACTGTTCATCACTGACTTTGTTCGTGACAGTTCAGCCTTGAGACCAAAAGCAAACACCTCTTAGCTAAATCACAAAAGCATGGGCACGATGATAAAAGCTCTGTTTCGTCCTTGCAGACATCAAAATAATTGTCTTTGTTCCAGTTCTGGGATGGAGGGGTTCATTTGCAGGATTGGAAAACCAAAGGACAAATGTACCCTCCAGTGTTTTTGAAGTTGGCAGCGTGGCGTTAATGTAGATGCAACACAGAGACAAGCTGCCCTTCAAAGGCACACATACATGCACCCATTTGCTCCCACACCTCCTAATAGAATCTTCAGGAAATACTTTTTCCATTTATAGCTATGAAAGGGAATGTTTCGTATCTTGTTTTTTTCTAACTCTGAGTCTCGCCTGAGAAGTTATTTAGCAAGATCTTTGCCTCTTTGTAATCGAGCCCTGCTAGGCTACTAGATGCTACTGTTGACTTTGATGGAATATTTTGGTCCACATGATCTCAGAGGAATGTTGTATCTGCGACACAGCAATGCCTCGCTCTGCTTCACTATTTCAGAGCATTAGCATTGTGTGATCAGAAGACTGCCTTCTTCGCTATGTTCCAATGAGATGCTGTGTCTTGTCCCCTGTGGGTGAGTGGGTGGCTAATGGAAAGCCCCCTTTCTATATCTCTTGGCTAAGGCCATGGAAAACGAATGCTGAGGAAACGGAAGTCTTGGAGGTGGTCCAGTTTAATTTCAGAGCATGTGCATTGGGAAATAATTGACTTCCTCCGTGGTTTACATTTTGTCGAGGGCCTCGCAGAGCACAGTCCGAAGCAGGTGGTTGAATTTGCATTTCATTGGAAACTTGACAGCTCAAGCCTGGGAAATCCTGCCCCCCAGGACTCTATATGCCCGGAAAACCTCTGCAGGGGTAATGACTGATGTCTCAGTGAGAGAATCCCTTTGAGGCCAGAGAGGCTCCCCTCAGCCAGGAGCAGCTGTAGGACACCTGATAATATACAAATCAGTCTTGAGCAAGTTGCACTGTAACGTGAGATGCAGATAAATGCTCATAAACAGTCATTGGTTTCTCCCACATTAGAATTCACTGTGTTGCCATTCTGCAGTTGTAGGATACATTTATAGCATCTTATGCACAAGTGTGATGTTGCTAAAGGAATGCAGTGATCTGTGAGGTCAGGCATTTTAATTTGTTTATGGAAAAACGGAAAAAAGTGGCCTAATTGTTTTGATTCAAAAATGTAATTCTGAAGAAAAATGCGTATTTCTCAGGTGACAAACTGTGAAAGATTCTGATACGTTCCAATGCATAGTATTGGGGCAATAATTACAGAGAAGCGATTGTTTGCAATACAATTATTTGGCCTCTGGCACTCTACAACAAAGCTAATTAAATATTATCCATACAAAAATGGAAAAAGTCAATTAAAAAATAAATAATTTGTTGGTCACAGTAAGGAAAGTTCAAATGTAAATTCAAATAAGATATGAATCAATTCGTTTTGTAAACATACATTTTCAAAGCTGACTTTTTTTTCCTCTTCACAGTATCCTACTTTGGGGACAGCCACTGCAATGTACAGGCCTTCCAAGATGTCTCCTCCTTCCACCTGTCTCTGCAGATCAAGACGAGTCGGCGCAGCGGGCTGCTGCTACTGGCTGCAGGGAAGGAGGACTACCTGTTCCTTGAGCTGCAGAATGGGAAAATACAGGTGAATGATTAACAAACTGTGGAGAAGTCTGAAATGTTTTAGTAAACAAAATAAAAATATATTTATAGATCTGCCAAAATCACAACATCTTGAAAATGTGTATAAAACTGTAAATAAGTTACAAAAATAAAAGATAACACATCATCACCATTTTATATAAATAGTCTTTTACAGCCAGTAAAAAGTGCAGTCAGGCACAAAAATACAAACATTTGTATTCAACGTTGTTGAAGTTGACGTCAAGGTAAGAAGGTTCTTGTTACCACCAATAATGATCGAACCAAACGTAATTATCAAATGATATGCGTCAAAAATATGATAAGTGAATACTTTAGCTGTGTATTTGACCGTAAAATAACACCTTAATTGGTAATAGAGTTTTTTCAAAATCATTTCAAAAGCAGAAGTTGCCAAAGGCATAATGGATAAGCATAAAATATAACAGTGAAAATGCTCGGCATATACAAATGGAAGAAATGTTATTATTCCTTTTGATAACAACCTAATCATTAATTTGCTATACAATCACTAAAACATTACATATGAAATGTCTTACTTCTTGGCATTCATAATTGATTTATTAAAAATGCAGATCTCTGTTGTGAGGACACACATCACAGTAAATTGATGTTGTAACTTGTACTATTTGTTCATTTTGCGGAAAACATTTGCTTCAAACATTAGAAATAAATCCCACGGATGTGCTGCCCATTGGTTGAATATTAACTTTACCAACCAAAACCACAAGCATTAATAACACGATGTGCATGTACAAAGGCTGCACATATTTAGTTATTTAAATGTAGAATACAACTATTAAATGTGTTTGTTTTCCCTAAGGCTCGGATGAACATGGGGAATGACGAGGTGACACTTTCTTCATCCCAAGGAGTTCAGCTGAACAACCTTCTGGAGCACAAAGTCTCCCTCACACTGCAAGACGGCAAACTCACCATGACCATTGATGAGCTCTTCTCGACGTACGTTCCTGTGGAGGATGATGAAGAACTGCTAAATATTGACATGGGCATTTGGCTTGGAGGAACAGGAGACTTGGATACTCACTACCTCAGCAATGCCATTCCCCCTTTCCGTGGCTGCATGACTGAGGTCAAATTTGAGTCCCACCAGTTTGATATCCTCAGCGCAGTGTATAAAGACTGCCATCACACGAAGGACTCCTGCAGCACTGAGTTTGAGGCTGTTGATGGGGAGGCAATTAGTTTCAGCACTCCTGATTCCTTTGTGTCTTTCCCCACCTGGAGCGGGGCTAGTGGTGCCCCGAGGGCCCTCGAATTCCTAATGAAGACAACCATCGAGGATGCTCTACTTCTTTTCCACCCTGGCAGAGAGTCTGACTTTGTAGCTGTTGGTGTTGTGAAAGGCTTTCTCAAAGGTATGCTGGACGTCGGAAATGGCTTGGAGATCCTGGAGAATACCCAGGTGCAGCTGGATGATGATCAGTGGCATAGAGTTAAGGTTGAAGTCAGTCCGGATTCATTTGTCATCAATGTAGATAGCCAGTCTTCCTCCCTCCCTCTTGATTCATCACAACAATTGGACTTGGTTGGAAACTTGTATTTGGGAGGCATCCAGGGGAGAATGAAGGATGTGTTTCGTGAGAGCGGGTCCTTAAGTCAAGTAGAGGAAGAAATGACAGCCGAATCCTTCATTGGTTGTTTGGGAGAAATCAAAGTTAATCAGAAGGATAGAAGCCTGCAGGATGCTTTGATCACCAAAGATATTCATGTTAAATGTGAAGGAGAGGACTATGACTACTCAAGTTACTATGAAATAGACTTAACTACAACTTCTCCCCCTGTTCAAATCAAATATGCTGATAAAGACATCCTTGATCAGCATTGCTATCCAACAGATGACACACCAGAGATATACAGAAATGTAACACAACTTCTTGATGTCACTACACTACTCGTGCCTGAAGGTGGAGACGCTTTAATTGATATCAACAACCTACTCCCCACATTTGACCTCAGTGCTGCAGGACTGAGAGAGTCTCAGATCATATTTACTCTCCAGAGTGATCCCCTGTATGGCTTGGTTGATATGAACACAAACACAAGACGCACACAAAGGTTCACTCTTCTCGATATTGTCGATAAGAAGATCAAGTATATGCATGATGGAAATGAACGGCATACAGATCAAATCCAGCTGCAGGTTGTTGTTCAAAGTAATGACTTCCTCCCTGAATGTTTGAAGACTTCTCAGGAGTATGTCCTTCCAGTTGAAATTCTTCCCGTTAATGACATACCACAACTTGGTGGAGGAGAAATCACCCTTACAGCAAACGGAAGAACTCGTTTGAGTCCAAGCCTTATTAAAATCACAGATTCTGACAGCCGCTGTGATGAATTAGTAGTAACTGTATCCTCAGAGCCTTCAATGGAAGTTGGTTACTTAGAAAACGGTCAACAGTCAGGAAGAAGCATCTCAGAGTTCACCTGCAGAGAATTGAAAGATGGAAATATCTATTTTGTTCACAGAGGGGGTAGTGCTGGTGAAATTACCCTGGAGGTGTCTGATGGACAATCAGAAAGCCATTCAACTACTTTTAAGTTTTCTGTGACACAGCCACATATGACTATTGTCATCAACACTGGCCTCCACTTGGTTCAAGGAACAAACACATCCATGGGTGTTCAAAATCTTGCTGTCATAGCTCATCCGCGTAATGGAGATGTCATGTATAACATCACTAAGCCTCTGATATTTGGAGAACTTCAGATAATGACAAGCGATGGAATATACAGGCAGGTTACAACTTTCCATCAGTCAGACCTAGATCAAAATCAGCTGAGATACATTAGCACAGACTCGAGAAACCAGGAAGAAACTGTGAGCGAACAAATTCAGTTTGATGTCCACTTGGGGAAGTTCTCCCTCTGGAACAACACCTTCTTAGTCAATATCATCCCTGCTCAAGTAAAAGTTTCCACTATGGTCCCGCTGGAAATGGAGGCTGGTGAAGAGCAAACAATTGGATCCACAGAGCTTCAAGCCGAAGTGATAGGGGAAAACGTAGATCCAGAAACTGTCAAATACATCCTTGTCAAGCTTCCAACACTTGGCAGTCTGAAGCTGTCAGACACAGAGTTGGTTGAGGGTGACATCTTCACACAGAAGGACATTTTAGAAAATACAGTTAGCTACAGGGTACGTGTGCAAAGAGCTGTGGATAGTTTAGACCAGTTCCAGTTCAGAGTCATTGCGAATGATCAGTATTCCCCTCTGTACACCTTCCCAATTACCATCCTTGCCAACGCCGATGCTCCAGTTGCTCCAGTTTTGACCAATGAAAGGCTGTTTGTGTTGCAGGGTGGTGAGCATACTCTGAACAACAAATTCCTTTGGATGTACTCTCCAGGTTCTACAGACATTGTGTACCGAGTCACACAGGGTCCAAAGTACGGAAGATTGATAAGGGACTCCCCTCCCGGGCAGCCTAGATTTGAGGGGGCAATAAGAGTATTCAGTAATGAGGACCTCCAATTTGACAGGCTTATTTACAAGCACGATGGCTCTAAGACAAGCAGTGATGAGTTCCGTTTTTCAGCAGAAAGTCAAGACAATCAAGAAACAATAAACGATGTTTTCAGGATAACCATCCAATCCAAGAACGAGCATGCTCCTGTGAGGGTTGTGGACAAATTCTTCAATATCGTCCGCCACGGTCAGCGCCTGCTAACAACAGATGTCATCCAGTTCAAGGACGACGACTCAGGTTTCAATGACACCCAAATTGTCTACGCCCGTGAGGGAATCCTCTCAGGAAACATTGTCTCAACATCTAATCCCTCGCAGCCCCTTTTCCGTTTCACACAAGCCGACCTGAGAGATAAGAAGATCCTCTTCATTCACCACGGAGCAGACCGGGAACGCTTCCCGCTGCAGGTGTCAGATGGCTTTCACAAGACCACTGCGCTGCTTGAAATCCAGGCAGGTGAGCCCTACCTGCGAGTTGTAAACAACACAATCATTGTCATCGACCATGGAAGCACCAAGACCCTTAACACCACACTGTTGAGCGCTGACTCCAACATGGACGTCAGAGATGGCAGTGAGATCAAGTTCCAGATCACAACGCCACCCAGCAACGGCAAGATTATTGTGAGTGGGATTGAGTCTTCAGAGTTCACCCAGGAGGACCTGAAAAAAGGAGTAATTTCATATGAGCATAATTACGAGAGTCTGAGGTCCAAGGACTCCTTCGGCTTCACCGTCCAAGCAAGAGGACATTCTGAGGATGGCACATTTAGGATAAGAATATTCAAGCAAGGTTACTTCTCTGAGCCTGAGTTGGTGAACAATGAGGTCATCATTTCCTATGAGGGAGAGCACACCGTAATCAACGAGAACAATCTCAAGGTAATGTTTACTGACCCCTTACATGACCTAAATTGAGCAAAACTCATTCGTTTTTGCTAACTAGAAGATGTTCATATGTGATTGAGAGCTACAGTTCACATATTTAGACATTTATTCTACAACACACATTTGTTTTTATTAATCTAGACAGCATTTCACACAACTTGGCTGGAATTATCTGACACATCTTGTTTTATTCAAGTATATTTTTCTCTTTGTGAGACAGAACTTTCACATGACTAATTTCAAGCATACTGCCCTGTTTTGTAACCCTGTCTTTAATCTACATTACCACCACATGAAAGCAGGGCTAAATATGACTGTGCAGTTGCTGCTTTTAATCTAGTTGATGCACTAAATTGCAGTCTATTAAGTGTGGAAAACAGAGCACTAAGTATCCCCTGAGGAGCTTCCTGAAGCCCACTTTAATTTATAGGATGAGCCTGCCTGCACTTCATCTTGAATGTATTAATGAGGTTAAAATGTTCGTCAATTCATGACACATTCTCAGTAAATGTATTTTGACTTAAAATAAGGAGGGACTTTTCTGAAAGTAAAATGTTCTTTTATCGTAAACATTTGAGATCTGCAGTATTGTCTAGAGTCAAACCCAAACACATAATACACATGTTGTTTTGAACAAAGCTTTAAAACACTGGGCTTTTCCAATGTGTTTGCTTTCTATGAAATTAAAAAGTAGTTTGATCTTTTGACTTATGCTCAAATGCAAGTACTGCACAATTGCTCTCAACACTCCTTCAAGCTCCAGAGAGTTTATTAAATCCTCTCAGTGGGATGACTATAAATCTGCAGCATGACTTTAAATGTTACCAAATGACTTTTTGTTCACCATGCTATCACAGTGTTCCAATCAGACATCATGTGCTACTTGTAACATTAGATATGATGTGCAACAGAGTTGACAGTGCCCTATTCCTGTAGTGAAAATAAAACGAATAAGTGTAGTGCACTGACATTTACTTACAATACTGCTCCTGTCCTCAAAGCCAAATGTCTCTAATATAATTTCAACATTGAAACACTGCTGCCAATTTCTAAGGAAAACAGAATTTAAAAGTTTTATGAGTTTATTTGATATGTTTTACCATCTGTCACTGGAATAGTTGCACAACATTCACTTATTTTTGCCCTCTCTGAGTATTTTCATGCATTGAGACAAAAGTGTCTATCATTACCAAGGGTAAAAAGTCAAACTACTTTATTGTGTATTAGCATATTTGGGTATATTCAATTTGTCAGAAAGCTGAATGGATCCACTACAACACACACTTAGATGAGCACATTGACATATAAGACGTTAAAAATAAATTAACTTTTTGTGTCTTTGCTTTTTAGGTGGATCAAGCTGATATACTTCCTACAGAAATGCTGTTCACCATTAAAGAGTCTCCTCGTCTCGGACATGTGGTGAAGCTGACCAACAACTCGGACAGCCCAGACTCGCCTGTCCTCGACTACATTCACTCCTTCACTCAAGAGGACATTAATCAGGGACGCATTCTTTATGTGTCTGCATCCATCCAGGTTTGATGTCATTTAATTTATTCTGTGGTAGTAAATCAGCTGTGGCAGCTTGTTCCCTTTAATATTCACACTGAGAGTACAATCAGACAAAAGACAACCTCAGCCTCTGATGAGTCAAAGGTACAAGGTTTATTTTTAGCAGATCAATAACTTACTTGAACATCCATCTCTTTCAGGGCAGTGACGCCTTCACAGTTGATGTCAGTAATGGTTTCACTACAGTGGAGGACCTGCACGTCTCTGTAAACATCGTGCCACGGATCATCCCCATCCAGACCTTCAACTTCACAGTGAAGGAAGGCCTCAGCCGGGCGATCAATGCAGAGATTGTTAACATCTCACATCCCTTCTACAGCTCAGCAAACATCGACTTTGTTGTTGAAGAGGCACCAAAGCACGGGGACATCCGTTACCTGGATGGAGACGAACTTGTTTACTTTACATGGGAAGAGGTACGTTATGATATGATGAAATCCAGATAAATATTCCAACAAAATCTGACCAAAGATCTCTAAATATCTTGATCCTCATTCAAGTTATACTGTATATACTTCTTTATCATTGATTGAGATTGATGACCATCTTATTTCATTATACTAGCTTAATTGATCATGAGCAGTGTCATTGTGGCCTTTGTCAATGATCTATCTCCTCTTCTCTATTTGCATTATATTTTAGATATTTGTTTTCTGTGTATACTTACATGTATTAACCTCTATAATTACATGTTATCTGCATATTAGCCAGGCATTTTTGACGAAGCAGCCTCACCACAAACTACTGTAACATAAATGGGAGTACATGCTGATGGATCATCTTACATTTTTTTATTGTGTTTTTCCATTTGGTTCCCCTTGCCTGATTTTTTTCCACTCAAATGTCTGACATTTGTTTTTGCCCTTTTTATTAAGCTTGCATCATAACACTTTTAATGGCTTTTTATTTACAGAATGGTTGGTTTGACCATATAAGCACATGTCTATGGTCTAACCCCACTAAAACATGGACATTTTCTCTTGTGCCTGAATTTTAGGGAACCTTATATTTTAGTATGTCTTGGGCCAAAAACTTCAGAGAACACCTACAAACAACCAATAATTCATATTAAATACTCTCTAAATGACTCCAGGGAGTATAACATCTCTCAAGACTAGATCATTTGGCTGTTTAGGAGGATTACACAGTACGACTTCCCCATGAAACTTTACCTGGTTACTTCTCAGTGCTTTGTTGGATGTGTTGTTTTTTTACCAGACAGAGAGGAGAGAGGGAGAACACGGGAGCTGCTACGTCACAGTTACCTGGTCTCTTTCTGTGTGATTCAGGGTCCCCAGCTATGGGAAAATATGAAAAATGTATGCGTAGTTACTGGTGAAAAACTCCTTGTGCATTCTGAATGGACCACATAGCTTACTGGAGATAGTTAGAGACATATCATATTGCTCCTACATGTAGCCCCAGTATGCCTCTACTCTGCTCTACTTTGCTGCAGGATTGTGGAAAAACTGATGATGCCTTTGGACTGCCTGAAGCCAAAATAAACTGGCCCGGTATATCCCTATAATAATGTATGAGTGGCCACAAGTCCCGCGCTTTCCTACCGTCCGACTCACTCATACTTTATTTCAAAGATCCCAATGTAAATCTCAAATGGGTCTTAAGCGTAACGATAACGTAGGTGGCAAGGAAGCATATAATTTAACATATCCTTAACTGCCACTATAGACATGTCCCAAAGACAATACATTTTTGTAACTTTTTTATGTGGGTACTGTTTTACTGTTTTCCTTATAAACATACAAAGGAAACATTCATTCCTCCCAAATGAGTACCACATTGGAGAATAAATGCTCTAGCCACAGCCGGCACTAGGTTCAAACCAGACCGTAATTGCTTCAAAATCAATCTTCTGTCTTCACTTTTCTGTAGTATAGGTTTTTTTTTTTCCTACTGTATGTTCTATGTTGTTTCAAGCTTTTTTTCAAGTCTCTCGTGACCTTGGGACAGGACACTGGATTAACTGGTGTGTGTAGTAATTGTGCGATAAACTCACCAATTGGGGTAGTTCACTGAGGTTATGTAAGCGTACATTAACATTGTGGGTGTGCAGTGAGAAAAACTGAGAGTGTTCGTGAGTGTCTACATCAGAAAATCGACATGAACACTAACCACAAGAATGTAAAGTTACTGTACAGTAAGCTATGTGCCATGTGGCCAGGATGTGTCACATACTGTACTGTAAGCAGAGATTCTGTCAGACAATTTTCCTAACCACAGAGCCAACTACGATTTATTCCATCTTTGAACAAGAAAGTTCCAAGCACTTTCAGTTAGGCATTGTTGAGTGGGATCCAACCTGAGGGAAAATAGAAATAGGACATCTGAAACACTTTCCTCCAATACACCTTTACTCTAATCAGGTTCAGCTCTCCATCGGGTCTCAATTACGTCCTCCATCTGTGGAAACCTATTAAAGTCCACACAGGCATCTTTTTTTACAGTACAAAATGTTTTCAGAACAAAGTCTTCTTGAGTTTACATAACTAATTTTCCAAAATACAGTAGACACACAGAACTTGACGGTATACATCAATCAAAACTCAAAATAAAATAAACATTGGCACAGGCATGAATCTTTCTCTGCAATCTTAATGCCACGTGTCCAACAACCACCCACTGTTTATTGTCCCAGCAAGCAGACTGATTGTCTCGCTGGCTTTCCCCGATCAGTACTGCTGATGGGGGTTGTTATTCCAGAAGGATGCCAGTCATATGGGATCCATTTGGCACTTCCTGCTCTCTGAAGCAGGTCCTCCCATCACAGCAGCTTACTGGCTTTTGTCAAGACAAAGTTCCAACTGTCCTCTTTGCACACAAGGATCCTGAGTCTTGAGGTAGTATCAGGTGTGATTATGTCATCCAGATACCTTAGGACTGAGAAACAAGAATATAAGATGCTGGCTGCTGAAAGTCCTGTTCTGTATGCAGAAAATGAACAGAGTTGGCTTGGCCTAGCCGCAGGTGCTGTTCTCTATCTAGCCCACTTCAGATTGAATGACTGATTCCTTTGTGCATCTGGTTTCCCTCAAGGTTTCGTCCCATAAGAGAGATTCTCCTTGTTCTTGTGCTGCTGCCAGACTTTAAGACCTGATCATAGCCTCTATCTCAAAAGCTTTGAAAACATCTATTATCTGTTAAGGTCAACAAAAGATATATTGGATACCGTAAAGAAATATAGGTCTGTTAGGAAAAGCGTAATTGTGTTTTCTTGTTTACTAGAAACATAGACCCTTAAAGGAATTGTTTCACAATGTGTGATCAATCTGTTAAATACCAGATTAAAGACAGTTAGCTTAGCTTTGAAAAAAGGCTTGGAGCAGGATGAAAAAGGTAGCCTCACTCCACTCAAAAATAAATCCAGCACATTAAAAGTTCAATAACACGTTATAAACATTGGGTAATACTATGCCGTTATTCTAGATCAATTAGGCGCTTTCACAGTGTACGGAGTACTTTTCCCAGTATAGTTCCGATATAGTTCCGAAAATGTGCGTTCACACCAAAAACATCCGGAACTAGAACTTAGTTCATGAGAACATTTTCACCCCCTTTTCACTCCCTTCTAGAGAGCAGGGACTTTAGGCGCGTTCACACCGCAGTACTTTTCCCACTTTAGTTCCGATATGTTGCGTTCACACCAAAAAGAGCCGGAACTCAAATTAGTTCATGAGAATCTTTTTACCCCCTTTTCCGTCCCGTCTAGAGAGCAGGGACTTTCGTGGGAGAAAAAGGTTCCTATATCTGATTGGCTGGGCGGATTGCAAACCACGCCCCGTAAAACTCCAAAAAAGTTTTGTGAAGCCGCCATTTTATTATCCTCGCATTAGCATTATTAGCATTAGCCCAGCGCACAAACGAAGAGAGACTAACTTATGGCAACACAAAAGAAAACATGGGAGCGGTGGAGATGAGGAGGTGTCGGCGTTCTGGCGATTTACTCGGAAGGCTTCAGTAGAAGCTGCTGGGAGTCCCAGCAGCTTCTACTGAAGACAGTCCTCAACTCCGGGGACTTCCGGCCGGGGACTTCGGGTGGCAGTATACGCCGTGAAGTTGTTTTCTAATGTTTCTAGTCATTCACTGTTTATTAAAATGCCCTCAAAGACAAGATCAAGCAAGTATTATATATATATATATAAAAATAATACTTTCTTGATCTTGTCTTATAATATATATATATATATATATATAGCACTATTCAAGTGGACTAACTTTTGCTTATAAGTAGTGATGGCGAGATGAAGCTTTGAAGCTTTCCAGCCAATTGGTTCGCAAAAGGGTTCATCTCATGAGGCTTCATCATGGGCTTCATTTGAACACAATCCCCCTGTTGGTCAAAGTGTGTAAAACAGGCAGATTGGACATCTCAACAGTGTGCTCTATCTCAAACCTCGGCGCAATACGTAACATCACTACTTATAAGTACAATATAAAAGAAGTCCTGCATATGGAGATGACGGATAGAAAGTGATATAAAGGCATACTCTTGAGATGAACTGTTCCCATAAAGTTGGTGGGCTCACAAAAGACAGATTCATAAAATAATGGTAAAAATGTAAGCAGCAGAGGAAGAGATGTTCTGACTTTTATTCCCAATAGGTGTAAACCCCTTAGATCCTAGATCCTTTCTTTCCCATATTGCAATCAACAGGATCTTTTTGTCAGATACTCTCGGTCTAGAGAAATCCCTCAAGTTTCAAACTCCCCTTTGTAACGCTGGCTTTCTATTATAAATTTGTCTCCAAGCCAAAGCTGAGATAATTAGATCCCCCAGAGCCACAAAAGAGAGATTATTCATTATGTTTTCACAGGCAGAGAAGTCTCCGAAATGATTACAAAACTGACTATCATCATGAGTGAAATTTGAAATTTCAAGTATCAGAACAAGGAGAAATATCTGAGAGGATTGTGCATTGAAATATGCAAACAAATTAAGAATTTGACAGAGGAACAAAGCAAATTGGAGTTTCTTCTGACTTTCTTTTCAGTTTGTAATGGTTTACCAGGAGAGGATGGTTTGGGGTTTGTTAAAAGTGTTCTTTGGATATTGTCACACTGTTAAAATTGTATTCCACCTTTTAGGCTCACGCCCGCTGTCTTTTTTATGCCTTTCCAACAATTAAGTTCTGACAATTGAGTGACAGTTGGATCCTTTTCTTCTTCTGTCTTCTTCAGATAAAACTTGGACACATCTACTACATGCATGACAGCACTGAGAGCACAGAGGACAGTTTTACACTCTCTGCCTCGGCTTATGAGATCGACCGCCGGAGCCTCCCTGTCACCATATCAGTGACTGTCATAGCAGTCAACGATGAGCCGCCAAAACTGACACGTAACACGGGACTGGAGGTAATGTTTTGCTCTTTTTGCTGCTACTTTGAGCTTTTCTCCAACAATTGTAAATGTTCAATTGCTGTTGGAAAATGTTTCTAGCTATAAAAAGTAAACTTTTAAGTTGTTGGAGTCTTTTATTTTCCTGTAGCACTTTTCATGTGATGAGAATTCAAGCTGACCACAAGCGTCACTTTGCATGAGGAAGGAAAGAACACACTTTTTATTTGCGACCTTTCAAAACAAGGGAGTATTTTATACTAAGAAGACGAAACTTTGGAGAAAATAAGTTTTCTTCCCCACAGAGTTCCAGTGTTCATTTCATTTCACCTTTGTGTATATATTTGCTTTCGTTCCTGCAATAAGCTGGAAATAAGAATGAAGAACATGTGATAACTGTAGGCATTCCCACATGATTGGTCTGATGCCCAAGTCACTCAAAATATGAAAGAAAGGCATATACATGGCTATACAATTGGCTTTAGGGTGATAAATGAGGTTCTGACATGTTGAGAAGGGGTAATAAAAGTAATAAAAACTTCTAGCAGTGATTTAAAGAGGCCCTATTGTGCTTTTTGGGTTTTCCTGTTCCCGTATTGTGTTATATAAATATGTGTGCATGTAAATGATCATGTAACTGACTTGATGCTTTATTTTAATTAAGATAGAATTTCAGACAAAAAATAAGTATAACTGCCAATTTAGAAGTCACGATAATCACAAAGACTTAAAAGGCCTTGTGTTGTATGGAATAGTTTCCGGTATAGGTTCAAGTTGATCGAAAATCGTATGTTTTAATAATGAATGAAATCTGAACCCTGGATGAACTTTTTTCAGTGTGCTGTAATGAATCCTGAATGAAGTGAGAATAGATTTACTTCATACGTCAAGTATAATAAATGCAGAAAGCTTTTACTTGGAAGCAGAAACATATTGACCTCCCGAACAATTACACATGCTGCATCATTTCAGCAGTGGCCTCCACAGTATATTTGTTTTTATAAGGAGCTGTAAAGTAGAAGAGAATTAGCATATTCTCAGCTCGACTGCTTTAAAATGTTGCAAATTAATCATGTAAGCCTCAAGTATAAGAGGGCAGTGATTCACTTCTGAATGCACTTAGTGCAATGTCAAGCAGTATTACAGGAACTGTATGAAGTATCTGTAATCCTTTTAATGCTTTTCCACATCTGCTGATATATCAGATGTAACTGATAGAACATAGGTATGCTCACATTATGTACCTTTATCTCAAATATACTTTGTTTTATGCACAATTCTAGATTTAATAAATAACTTTAATCAAAAGGACATTATATAATGTCTCATTTGGAAACATATTTCAGTATATCATTGAGTTTAGTTAGAGAGGACATATTACGCACATTTTCAGGTTCATATTTGTATTCTGTGCCTCAGTCTGCTCTGATTGGTTAGCCCCCCGGCTCTGTTGTGAGCCTAACACGTTCAATGTGTTGGAGCACTAGCCAATAGAAGCGCGGGTTTAACATAGTGATGTCATTAGGCACGTTCACACCGCAGTACTTTTCCCACTTTAGTTCCGATATAGTTCCGAAATGTTGTGTTCACACCAAAAAAATCCGGAACTAAAATGAGTTAATGAGAACCTTTTTACCCCATTTTCCGTACCTGCTAGAGAGCAGGGACTTTCGTGGGAGAAAAAGGTTCCTATTTCTGATTGGCTGGGCGGATTGCAAACCACGCCCCGTAAAACTCCCAAAATGTTTTGTGAAGCCGCCATTTTATTATCCTCGCATTAGCATTATTAGCATTAGCCCAGCGCACAAACGGAGAGAGAATAACTTATGGCAACACAAAATAAAACATGGGAGCGGTGGAGATGAGGAGGTGTCGGCGTTCTGGCGATTTACTCGGAAGGCTTCAGTAGAAGCTGCTGGGAGTCAGCAGCTTCTACTGAAGCCAGTCCCCAACTCCGGGGACTTCCGGCCGGGGACTTCGGGTGGCAGTATACGCCGTGAAGTTGTTTGCGGCCTGTCAGTAAACCAGAAGAAGAAGAAGTGACGTCAGCGGCTTAATTTGCCTAATCCTTCCCCAGGGACTTATTCCGGTGTGAACGCGATCTGTACTTAGTTCATGACACTCTTCGTCATCAGCCGCCAACATTTGTAAAGCCCCTCTTATTGCAGTGTAATTCTCACAAAGAGCTCTTGTGGAGTCTCCTCTGCAGCTCCATCTTGTACAGGAGAGAGATTTTAGCGTCAGTGTGACGTTTTCAGTGAACACTTTATTCCATCGGTGGAATGCGACATGTTGGATGCGTTGTCATAAGCCTGGCCACGGCAGTTTGAGAGATCCAGCCCCATATCAATGACCATCTTCATCACACAGTCGGCCAGACTTGACCCAGTGTGACTGTGAATGGGTTCAAATCCAATAAATCTCTCAATAACTTTTCTTTTCTCACTCGCAAATTGGAAAAAAAAGTGAATTGGTCGACGTGAGACATGTCAGGTGTAGAATCTACGATGACAAAGAAATACCTTGCTCGCTGAGTCGCTGTAGTTCTGTTGCTATTGCTTCCTTTGTTCTGTCACCCATCAAACCAATAAACTCCTCACAGATAGTTGATGACAAGTATGAAGTCCTACCACGTCCCTTCTGGCCAAACTTCTGCAAATTATCCTTTAAAAATTGATCAAACTGCGCGAGCAGCTCCAGGATTCCCAGGTAGTTCCCGTTATGTGCGGATCCTAAAAGTTTGTCATTTCCCCGGAAAGGAAGCCCTCTCACTCAAGAATGTAATCACCGCAACTACACGTCTCAATACATCCTTCCAGTACTGACTTTCTGTGTCGACCTGCATCCCTAAAGAAGCACCCACAGTGCCCATGAGTTTAGTGCGATGCGTAAGTGAAAGTACGCATTTTATGTGCTCACGACTCGTCTCATGTTCCGTTATCCTCTCGGGATGCTTCCAATCACTAAAGCCGAGATCAAATGCATTGCTGTGGCTGTGAGTGGACAAAAGTTTGCAGGCAAAACAATAAATTGCTCCGATAGATGTAGAATAAATAATCCAATCGCGTTGAACGATTTCTCCATTGTGAAGCTGTCTGGTCACCATATCGTTGGTCAGTGAGCGTGTCCGGCCGCTAGCATCGGTCTCCCTCCGAGATGCTGGATACTTCGTTGCCCGATTATGAAAGTATGAAACCCCTTTCATCAAAGTCTCCTCCCGGACATTTCCAGCAATTAATCCCCATTGTGCAGGGTCCTGAGAGACACAGGGAAATTTCGATGAACTCGAACCTTCACCCTGCTCTGTGACGTCCTCGTCAGGCTCGTCTTCATCTTTTTCCTCCTCTTCTACCCGCTGCGTTAGCATGCTAGGTTCAAGGCTAACATTGCTCGCTAGCTCAACAACATCCTCCGTGACCGCCGCCACTGTTCCTTGTGATTGTTGCTGGCCTATTTCGTCACTTTTTGCTTTTTTGAAAAAGCTGTTTATTGTTGGCACATTTTTTAATGCAGCCGCCACTCTCTCTTCTTTTTCTTTCTTTTCGCAGCCCCGCTGGGCATTTGGCTACCGGCACCATCAATTTTTTCTGCTCACGTGACAAAATGTGACATGAGTGAGGGTGGGGCTGTGATTCGGCTATATACCACCGCCGCGTAGTAATAAAGTTGAGCGCATACATAGTGAGACCTACAGTACAGAGACGGTTTAGAAAATATATTAATTTGACCCTATAGAAAAGCTGTATTATTTATGGCGAAGAGTGAGTGTCATTTAAAACAATGTATGATGAGTGAGGTTGTGCCCGAAAAAATAAAAAAATAAAAATAAATGGTCATCTTGTCACTGAGGGCCCTCTTTGCTCAAGGGCCCCTGGGCACTTGTCCGTGTTGCCCATATGGTTAATCCGGCCTTGGGTGTGAAAGCGCCTATTATGTTAAGGAAGTAAACAAAGGAGTTCAGGGAAGGGGGTGAGAGAGAAATGTTGGGATTGTTGCCTTTTTGCTGGGATTAATGGATTTGATAACTCTCTGATAACTCTTTAATTTATCACTGGAAACTATCATCACAATAATAACGTTTAGTTGGTGAAGAAAGGTGTTTATTCAAAGTCTTTTTACAGATTTGAATGTACAGTCGTTTCTTTTACAGAGTTTGTTTGGTAGACGCTTCCCAACTGATTCAGCTCAACCATGAAAAAAAAGTTTTTAAGGATCAATTATTCTACTGTAAGAGCACTGCAGGCAGGCAGATGGAAAAATCCAGCAGTAATCAGCTCACAGAAGTGGAAACCCACTGTGTCATTCAGCCCTCCCTGCTCTGCCTGCGGCTCCACGTCGCCCTGGCAACCCGTATTTTTGGAAAACCAAGATGGTCGCAGAGACCACGGCTTTCTGGCAGGGTGAGGGCGGCATCCAATCCCTGAGCCTCCTCTCTGCGGCTGTGGAGGGTAACATAATGATATGTGGATGTCTCCACACACAGAGCCAAAGCTATCCCAGCAGCGGCGCTCGGATTGATTTAAAGCAGGAAGTGTGCGTGTGTAGATGATCGGACACGATGAGTAACATGGTTGGGATCAGGCTCTGTGCAGGATCTCCGTTGATCCCAGTTGGCCCAGTCTGCAGGATACAGCTGGTCTCCATTAGAGTTTACACTCCGCTCGGTCTGGCTCTACTTCACTTTGCTGTATCTCAAAATAGTTTTCAATCTGAGTCAGGCTATCTAATTTGTTTTCCCTGTAAAATCATTTTTTACTAAATGTGTCAGGGTTTGAGTGCCCTACGTTCAATTTGTAAACATGAAAAAAGGTAAAAAATAAAATGCAAGAACAAGAAAAGGATATAAACAAAACGTAAAGTTGTTTTAAAAAAAGGCGTGTCGTCAAAATATTGCATTCCCACTCCCGCAAGCATGTACTCATCCATCTATCCATATATCTATCTATCTTTGTATCAGACTTTCTGCCATTGCCTCCTCCTCTCTGACTCACATTTTCCAGAATTACACAAATATCCCC